AGACTTGTGAACATTACCGCATTACAATCGATATAAAAAATCAGTAAAATATTATCTTTGGTATTCCGTCTGTTTTTTTTAACCAGTTGTTCCTTTTATCATTAAGGAAAGTATTTTATGATATGCTTGTGGTATAAAGCAACGCAAACAGATTGGCCAAGCTCAGTCGCTTTTTCGACTGCGTCTCACCTTAAAGCCAACGCCTCGAGACGTGAACGATATTTATCACTGACTGCTCCTGCTCGATAAGCTTTGCTTGTGTTTTGGTTGTTTAACGCCGCACGCAGCAATTTCCCAGTTATATGGCGGCAATATGTAAATATTCGAGTTTGGACGAGGCAATCCAGTGATCAACAGCATGAGCATCAATGACGTTCTGAGTTTGAGCTTCCAAACCGACATGGCCATCAAACATTTTTTTATATGTAGCAACACAACCACTCCAAACAGCATAGAAGTCTTTGGTCGAGAAGAGAGGTACCGAGAAATTTTCTGGCTCGTGGCCTTATGTGTCAACAAAGTCAGCCAGTCTGACCACCCAATCCTGTAAGTCGCCTCTTAAGATAAGCATGGGTTGCTGAGGATCAATTCTAACCCGGATAATCACGGGTAGCTGCGGTATGCTGGAATACTGCTGTGTGAAATAAAGAAGAAGACGGATATCTGAAGAACTAATTCATAATTTAGTCTCGCTTTAATCATGAAATAAATTGACGTTTTTCACTTTACAATATGTCTATATTGTACATCCTTACAGGTCCAGCACGGTAAACACCGGGGTAAGTGTGGCGTGTGTGGCGACGCCTATGACCCCAGTCCGGTGCCAAACTACCCCAACCAGTACCCTGGGATCTATTCTCAGGGTATTATCTCCGGGTGCTACACGGCTGAATCCCGCACCATGGACATTGACATCTGGATCAGGGCCTACCATAAGGTAAGAGCTACACCCTGCAGCAAACCACGCCCCTTTCAAAGATTGTTTAGGTGAAAGACTGTTGAAGGTTTTTACGCCGTTTACAGACATTACCAATCATGTGGCTTTACCTCATTGCAGACGCGGATCTTAATTACAAATCACATCAAACTACCGATTAAAAATAGTGAGTGAGTGAGTTTAGTTTTACGCCGCACTCAACAATATTCCAGCTGTATGGTGGTGGTCTGTAAATAATCGAGTCTGGACCAGACAATCCAGTGATCAACAGCATGAGTATCGATCTGCACAATTGGGAACCGATGACATGTGTCAACCAAGTTAGGGAGCCTGACCACCCGATCCGTTAGTCGCTTCTTACGACAAACATGGGTTGCTGAAGGTTCATTCTAACCAGGACCTTCACGGGTGTCCAATTAAAAATGACATGACAAACGCTTGAATTGTTGTTCCGGAAATTTTTCAATTTAGTAGATTTTCGCGGGAAAAATATCAGCCTAAAAATCAAATTTCACAGTACAACGTAGATATTCTGACTTTATTGTCTTGGGTATAGCAGTTCGCAGACAGAGGTTGCGTCCCTTAGTCGTGAATGGATCCGATGATCGTAGGTTCAAATCCTAGAGTCAAACTGATTGTGACTTTTATTGTTCGAGGGTATCATCAAAGCCGTGAACTTCTCTTAAACAGCTGTTCTCATTTGCACTTCTATGCTGTACCACCCTGTCTGAACGTAAATACGCCTTGACCTTTCCCCAGGGTTACTTCGAGTTCCGGTTATGCGCAAACAACGACTACACTCGTCCCGTGACGCAGGAGTGCCTGGACCAGCACCTGCTGACCATCGAGACGGCGCAGGGGAAGACTATCGGGACTCAGTACCAACCCCCAGTCGCGATGTCCAGGGGGCGCTACAAGTTAAAGTTGGTGTTACCTCCCGGGATGAAGTGTACACAGTGCGTGCTGCAGTTCATATACAACGCAGGTGCGTGGAGAAAGAAACATCATGTGGAGAACGAGTACATTAGGTCAAACACTAATTCTCTAGCAAAAACACAGCGGCATGAAGTTAATCGAGTATGGTCCACTGTCCCGTTATGCAAAGCGATTTCAGCAATGGAGTGATCGTTGCTCCCATATGTTAGCATTGGTTTAGAATTTCTGAACATACTTTAGAAATAGTCTATGAAGATCTACCGTTGGATATTGTGTGGGTCACTAAAAATAATTCTATCACAAAAGTTAATTGACGATATAATCGATAACACAATTTTCATATCGACAATCAGTAATATCTCTTCCTATCGACGATAGTTCCGATTATCGATCAATTTAGCCAGCCCCAGCTAAGAGTTGTTATCAGGGTCGGTGGGGCTGCCTATTGGTTAAAGCGTTCGCTCATCACGCAGAAGACCTGGGTCCTCACATGGTTACAGTGTGTGAAGCCCATTTCTGGTGTCCCCCGCCGTGATAGTGCTGGGATATTGCTGAAACCGTACTCCCTTACTCAGTTGTTACCACTTGCTGCCCCTCCAAAATATATGTACAACATCGAATTACATATTTTACACACGAGAAATTCTCATCGAAAATTTGGATACAATTAAACACATTCTATTGCATATTTGTAGGCAACAGCTGGGGTTGTTCTGTCAACGGTGTTTGTGGAGTTGGACTTGGAGACCAGGAACAGTTCTGGAATTGTGCAGACATCGCCATACTTCCCAGCTGTCAGGGAGTGGTTGGAAACATGGCGCCAGACGCCGCTCTGTTGCATGCCTCGAGCAGATCTCAGGCAAAGGCGAGCGCAGCCATTGCAGCACCGTCAAGCACAGAAGCTCAGGCAACAGAAGAAGAAAAGGCAGAAGCAGAAGAGAAGGCAAGAGCTGCCGCTGAATCACAGGCACTAGAGCAGGCACGGGTTGATGCTGAAGCACAGGCAAGAGCTGAAGTAGAAGCTCAAGCAAGAGCTGATGCTGAAGCACAGGCAAAAACTGCCGCTGAAGCACAGGCACGAGCTGCCGAGGAAGCACAGGCAATAGCTGACGCTGAAGCACAGGCAAGAGCTGACGCTGAAGCACAGGCAAGAGCTGCCGAGGAAGCACAGGCAAGAGCTGACGCTGAAGCACAGGCAAGAGCTGAAGCTGAAGCACAGGCAAGAGCTGACGCTGAAGCACAGGCAAGAGCTGACGCTGAAGCACAGGCAAAAGCTGACGCTGAAGCACAGGCAATAGCTGACGCTGAAGCACAATCCAGGGCAGATGCGGAGGAAGGGAATGGTGCCCAAGACGGTACCGATGCCGACTCAGGGACCAGTGAAACGGATGAGCCAACGTCTGCCGCTCAGACAGGGAGCGGTCAGTGTCGCGGCTCCGGGCCATGGCATGGGAATCTTGATATGGACAACTGGTGTCGAATCAACTGTGCACTTAACAATTGCCCCACCATCACGTGTGCATGTGACTAAGCAAAAGCGGGCACCTGTTGTATTCTGTGAATACTGTGATAAGGGACGTGACATTTGTCGTGAATGACATCTTGCTGAAACACATCAGAAACGAACGACACAAATAATTGTTTTTATTGGAATGACAATGCAGATGTATTTTCCAAGTTTGAAGGTTTTTCTTGGTTCTCTCTTTTTCACGCTATTCATGGAGCAAGGGTGTCCCGTGTCTATTTCCGCTACCAACTGCTAATTCTACCAGGAACTGGTGGTCAGGGGTTCGAATCAAAGACAGATCTTGCCCTATAAACATCATATCTGTGTTCGTGATACTGTGAAGTATATTTACAAACTATATAAAGTACATTTCCATACATATGTATCAAGCAAATATCATTGACAAGACGTATCGCTGATGCAATGTCTTATTTATGTACCATGCAGTTTGTTCGGTGAACATTGACTTGCCTTTGCCTGTGTTTGTAACAGGTAGCACACCTTAGGGCAGAATACACGTACTTATTGGCAAACACCTGGTATCTTCTACCGGAAAAGTGTTTTGTTACATATTTCTTAAAAATATGAACATCTGTGACCGTGGTGTTTTCTGTTGATGACATACCTTTCAGTGAGGGGATTTGTTTTTTTTGTGGTATCGAATGTATTCAAACCACACACGTTATTATATAATTATGGCTTTCAATATGCCACGAGACACCTAAAACCAAAATTGTTCAATGCTTGAATTTATGGGCATATTACCCTAGGGATATTGAGGATATTACCCTGGGAATTGTTTTTCAAAACGTTTTTCATAAGTCACCACCGTTTTAAGAAAAGCAAGATTTATGCATTCCACTTCTAAATGCCCTTCAAAGATTTCACCACCGATTTGTTCTTCAAAGTAAACGTCCATTTAACAGTTATTAAAAGCTTAAGAGAATGATAATAAGTGGTGTCTTCTTGGGCCATGGCGACATCATGTAACCAATACCTTCTCGCTGTACGTTGTATTGCGGGATCATTACCTCCTCTTTTGTTTCGTATTGTTTGTGAAACGATAGCCCATGTAACCCGGAGTTATTTGTAACCTTGCTAATATAATCGCCATTAATACATCCGTGTTGTTTTCGTCACCTCTTTATTTTCCTACAACAACAGTGACTGAGAAGGCACAACTTGTGGATAACAACATTGTATTCTTGCATAGAGACACGTGTTGGTGCAGATTCAGGTAAACGGTTTCAAAGCTTCCAAATTCTCGGTTCGATTGAGCGAGGTAAATCAGACAAGCACATCTCATTTTCGTCTGGCTCAAAACAAATACAATCAAAATCAAAATGCGGAAAATAATGCCTCGATGTATACTGTTGTGGATTTCATCAATGCTACGCTGTCTGTGAGTGCCATGACATTTGTACCAAAACATTCGTACAGTTCATTGAAGGTTTAATCCCCACCCTTTACCAATTATCGCAAGTTTCTATAATCTGCAGAGTCACGATATGGCTGAAATATTGCCGATTAATTATTTACTAACTCACTCACTATAATCTGCAGATAAGGGTGAGGTTATTAGGGTATCTTAAAACACAGCTATTTCTAAGACCACAGTCATGGATTTAACAATGTGACTGACAATCCGAGTTCCCAGAGTGTGGCTGTTCTTTAACCCAACAGCATGATTGTCATCGGGGTCTTTACTTTGTTGTTTACCTTACAACACCTCAACGCTCAACCCGTCGTTGACGCACCGTGGGGTGTAGTTGAGGGGACAACAAACATCACCGAGGACTGGACACCTTACCATGCATTTTTAGGAATCCCCTTTGCAGTTCCACCTACAGGGAGTAGACGGTTCAAGCGACCACAGCCACATCCTGGATTTAACCACACCTTCAAAGCCAAAAGCTATGGTCAAGAGTGCCTTCAGGCACTCACCTTTATTGGCAGTGACGTTGTTGCTGGGGACGAGGATTGCTTAACACTGAATGTATTCACTCCAGCCTCAAATACGGACACCAGTAACATTCCTGTAATTGTCTGGATACATGGAGGGGGATTCATCGCAGGGGATGCTTTCACTTATGACCCTTCACTGATCGTTGCCCATGGACAGGTAATAATGGTGACCATCCAATATCGCTTGGGACCGCTTGGGTTCCTTAGCACAAAGGACGACGTGTCAGCGGGAAACTATGGCCTCTGGGACCAACATCTTGCTCTGCTATGGGTTAAGAAAAACATTGCATCTTTCGGCGGGGACATCACCAGTATTACACTCATGGGAGAATCAGCAGGATCCGCTAGTGTGGCATTCCAGGCCTTGTACTCAGGGTCCAAGGGTTTGTTTCAGAGGACAATCATGCAGAGCGGGTCTGCCTCGTCCTCATGGGCATATACAAGGAACTCTCTGAAATATGCCCGACAACTGGCTCAAAAAGTAAACTGTTCCTTCCAGAGCGATTCCGCATCCATGATCGCCTGTCTGAGGACAGTGTCTGCCAAGAAGTTGACTGCAGCATCATGGCCAATGGGAAATGAACCCGTCACAGCATTAGCCGAGTTCTACTTTGTACCTACCGTTGATGGGATATTTGTCAAAGACGATCCGCTAACGCTAATGAACTCCCAAACGTACCTGAAGCAGGTAGGACTTCAAAATCTGGACTGTATGGTGTCCGTGGTAAGCAATGAAGGAGGAATCTTTAAAGGCCTCGCAAATGCAGCTGATAAACAGTTCCACTCCTCATTACCCTCATCGGTTCAGAACAAAGCATTCTACAAGAACACCTTCATCCCAGAAGTTCTGCAGGTTTATTTTGGAGCATCCTCTTCTGACATGTCACAGTCCGTGGCGAAGGTGTATGCCCCCTCTCAAAGTCATACTGTTACTCTTCAGGCAGTAATGAACACTCTTGGTGATGCTGGAATGGTTGCCCCCGTGACACTCTTTGTGAAGGCACATGCAAAGCTGACCAGCAACTTGAAAACAGGGAAGAAGACATACATGTATGTGTTTGACCACATCCCATCCTTTATGAGCGGTCATGGCAAGGGGGTGGATCATAGTGAAGACCTCATGTATACGTTTGGTCTCAGCAAATCTTTCATCGCTGATTTCACAAAAGCGTTCTCATACAGTATAACAGATCCAGACCAATCCGAAAAGAAGCTGGCACATGCGATGATGGGACTGCTGACAGATTTTGCAAGACATGGGTAGGTATCTCAAATATTGTTTAGAAGAACAATCTCGGGAATGCGGTGAACTGTTTGAGCTTGAATGTGTTGATATGTTACAAAGAGAGTGAGTAAATATAATGTTAGTAAGACTGTTGTGTGATGCACCATTCGTCAGTATTACTGTCTGTTCATAATGAACTATGGGCCAGTAATTAGTAAGAAGCATTGATCCTCTTTGAAGGGTTGACTGGCCCCGGACAAATTAAATACTCCAAGCAGCTCAAAATGAAGTCCTGTAACTCCGATCTCTTTTAATATAATCTATTCGCAGTCAGGTATAAAGCCTATTTCACGTGAAATGCCTTCAATTCCCTACCTTTCTTCAACATGATAGGATGAGACCTCCGTAGGTAAGGAGGTCCCGTCAGATGAACAGCCTGATCAAGCAATCAACGTTGACGTTTATTTGTTCTCGGTACGAGCGAGCAAATCCTTTCCAATTCTCAGTTGGGGAAAATGTACATAAACTGCCATCAGAGAGACTTTAATGTCAACTCAATTTGTGAACATGTGAATTGTCCAATCTGTCTAGTACATGTTACAGTGGAGATAAGGTTGACGTTATCTTCAGCTATTTATACAACCACAGCGAGTATCTGGCACATGAAATACCCCGAGAGTGTGGTCGTTCCTGAAACCAACACAATGGTTCTCATCGGGGTCTTCACTTTGCTGTTAACCCTGCAACACCTTAACGCCCTGCCTGTCATAGACGCCCCGTGGGGTGTAGTTGAGGGGACCACAAACGTCACGGAAGACTGGACACCTTATCATGCATTCTTAGGAATCCCCTTCGCTGTACCGCCTACAGGGAGTAGACGGTTCAAGCGACCACAGCCACATCCTGGATTTAACCATACCTTCAAAGCCTACAAGTATGGTCCAGCGTGCCTTCAGGCTCTCAACTTGATTGGCAGTAATGGTGTTACTGGGAACGAGGATTGCTTAACACTGAATGTATTCACTCCAGCCTCAATTACGGACACCAGTAACATACCTGTAATTGTCTGGATACATGGAGGGGGATTCATCGCAGGGAATGCTTTCACTTATGACCCTTCATCGATCGTAGCCAACGGACAGGTCATAATGGTGACCATCCAATATCGCTTGGGGCCACTTGGGTTCCTTAGCACAAAGGACAAAGTGTCAGCGGGAAACTATGGCCTCTGGGACCAACATCTTGCTCTGCAATGGGTTAAGAAAAACATTGCATCTTTTGGCGGGGACATCAACAGCATTACCCTCATGGGACAATCAGCAGGATCCGCTAGTGTCGCATTCCAGGCCTTGTACTCAGGGTCCAAGGGTTTGTTTCAGAGGACAATCATGCAGAGCGGGTCTGCCTCGTCCTCATGGGCATATACAAGGAACTCTCTGAAATATGCACGACAATTGGCTCATAAAGTAAACTGTTCCTCCCAGAGCGATTCCGCATCCATGATCGCCTGTCTGAGGACCGTGTCTGCCAAGAAGTTGACTGCAGCATCATGGCCAATGGGAAATGAACCCGTCACAGCATTAGTCGAGTTCTACTTTGTACCTACTGTTGATGGGGTATTTGTCAAAGACGATCCACTGGTTCTAATTAACTCCCAAACTTACCTGAAGCAGGTAGGACTTCAAAATCTGGACTGCATGGTGTCGGTGGTGAGCAATGAAGGAGGACTCTTTAAAAACATGGCAAAAGCAGCTGATAATCAGTTCCACAAGTCATTTCCCTCATCGGTTCAGAACAAGACATTCTACAAGAACACTTTCATGACAGAGCTTCTGCAGGTTTATTTTGGAGCATCTTCTTCTGACATGTCACAGGCCGTGGCTAAGGTGTATGCCCCCTCTCAAAGCCATTCCGTTACTCTTCAGGCAGTAATGAACACTCTTGGTGATGCTGGAATGGTTGCCCCCGTGACACTCTTTGCGAAGGCACATGCAAAGCTGAGCAGCAACTTGAAAACAGGGAAGAAGACCTACATGTATGTGTTTGACCACATCCCATCCTTTATCATTGGTCATGGCAAGGGGGTGGACCATGGTGAAGACGTCCTATACACTTTTGGTCTCAACCAAAACGTGTTGGCTATGGCAAAAGCGTACTCATACAATATAACTGATCCAGACCAATCCGACAAGGAGATTGCACATACGGTGATGGGACTGCTGACAGATTTCACAAGACATGGGTAGGTATCTCAAATATTGTTTGGAAGAAAAATCGCGGGAATGGGGTGAACTATTTGAGATTGAATGTGTTACAAAGAGAGTGAGTAAATATTTTGTTTGTATGACTGTTGTGTGATGCTCCATTCGGCAGTATTCCAGCCTGTTCATAATCAACTATGGACCAGAAATTACTAAGAAACATTGGTCTCCTTTTAAGGGTTCACGGGCCCTGGACAAATGAAAAACTCCGAGCAACTCAAAATGAAGTCATGCAAACCACACTTCTTTTGATATGATCAATTCGCAGTCAGGTGTAAGGCCTATTCCATGAGAAAAGTCTCCATTTCCCCCTAGGTAATACTTATAGTATTAAGGCTTAGAATGGAACTGGGCACAAAACTTATGCTTCACAAAATAAAAAACAAGTGTTAAGATGACCATGACGTCCATGTTTTAACAAAGATTTACAACAGACATGACGCTAAGACAGCCTTGTGGAACGGGGCTAAGAACGAAGATCATTTTGGTTGGTTTTGTTTAATGTCGCACTTTGCGATAATACTATCTGGATGTTTATAGAGTGAAAATAATCGATTCTTGTTCAGGCGATCATGTGGTCAGAATTGTTAGCAAGCAGTTGTTCCTGTTGTGCCTCTCCTGGGTTAAGGTTCAAAGTGCTTCATCAGCTAATCAGCGTCTAGTCTAATTAGTTCTTGGGACGAGCGGATAGGGCCTTTGCAGTTCGAGTGAAGAAAATAACAGAAACAGGCATCAAAGCGGCTTGAATCCAACCTGACTATCATTTGTGAACATTTCTAATGTTGAAAGTGTCTGGTCGATTTTTCATTTCAGATAAAGAGGAGTTAACTAGGGTATCTTGTATCTTGAAAGCTATTTATACTACCATTGCGATTGAACAACACACGTGACTGTTACATAAAATAAGCTTTTAAGCCTCAAGAGTATGGTCGTTCTTCATGACAACACAATGGTTCTTATTGGTGTCTTCACCTTGTTGTTTACCTTGCAATACCTCAACGCTCAACCCATCGTTGACACCCCTTGGGTTGTAGTTGAGGGGACCACGAACGTCACCGAGGACTGGACACCTTATCATGCATTCTTAAGAATCCCCTTTGCAGTTCCACCTACTGGGGGCAGACGGTTCAAGCGACCACAGCCCACATCCTGGGTTTAATCACATCATTAAAGCCAACAGTTAAGGTCCAGCTTGCGTCCAAACTTTCAAGGCGTTTGGTGGATATGGTGCCACTGGGGACGAGGATTGCTTAACAATGAATGTATTCACTCCAGCCTCAATTACGGAAACCAGTAACATACCTGTAATTGTCTGGATACATGGAGGGGGGGTTCGTTTCAGGAGATGCTTTCACCTATGATACTTCATCGATAGTTGCCCATGGACAGGTCATAGTCGTCACCATCCAATACCGCTTGGGGCCACTTGGGTTCCTCAGCACAAAGGACCACGTGTCAGCGGGAAACTATAGCCTCTCGGACCAGCATCTTGCTCTGCTATGGGTCAAGAAAAACATTGCATCTTTTGGCGGGGACATCAACAGCATTACCCTCATGGGAGAATCTGCAGGATCCGCTAGTGTGGCATTCCAGGCCTTGTACTCAGGGTCCAAGGGTTTGTTTCAGAGGGCAATCATGCAGAGTGGGTCTGTTTCGTCGTCATTGGCTCACACAAGGAACCCTCTGAAATATGCACGACAACTGGCTCAAAAAAGTAAACTGTTCCTCCCAGAGCGATTCCGCATCCATGATCGCCTGTCTGAGGACCGTGTCTGCAGCATCATGGCCAATGGAAAATGAACCCGTCACAGCATTAGCCGAGTTCTATTTTGTACCTACTATTGATGGGATATTTGTCAAAGACGACCCGTTGTTACTAATGAGCTCCCCAGGTTATCTTAAGCAGGTATCCAAAATCTGGACTGCATGGCGTCTGTGGTAAGCAATGAAGGTGGGATTCTTCAAGAGACTTTGAAAAGCAGCTGATTGTCTGTTCCACTCCTCATTATCCTCATCGGTTCAGAGCAAGACATTCTACAGGAACATCTTCATCCCAGAGGTTCTTCAGGTTTATTTCGGAGCATCTTCTTCTGACATGACACAGGCCGTGGCTAAGGTGTATGCCCCCTCTCAAAGCCATACCGTTAATCTTCAGGCAGTAATGGACACTCTTGGTGATGCTGGAATGGTTGCCCCATGGACGCTCTTTGCCAGGGCGCATTCAAAGCTGACCAGCAGCTTGAAAACGGGGAAGAAGACCTACATGTATGTGTTTGACCACATCCCATCCTTTATGAGCGGTCATGGCAAGAGGATAGATCATGGCGAAGACCTCTATTACACTTTTGGTCTCAGCAAAGCCATCTTGGGCGCTTTCGCAAAAGGTTTTCCCCATCAGTTCAACAGATCCAGATGAATCGGAAAGGAAGCTCTCACAAACATTGATGGGACTGCTGACAGATTTTGCAAGATATGGGTATGTTTGGTAAAACGTTTTTACAAGAATGGTTGTAAGAATTAGGACGGACGAGTTTAGTTTGAGTGTGTCAGAAAAGGAGAAAGTGAGTGAGTGAGTGAGTTTAGTTTTACGCCGATACTCAGCAGTATTCCAGCTATATGGCGTCGGTCGGTCTGTAAATCAACAGCATGAGCATCGATCTACGCAATTGGGAACCGATGACATGAGTCAACCAAGTCAGCGAGCCTGACCACCCGATCCCGTTAGTCGCCTCTTACGACAGGCATAGTCGCCTTTTGTGGCAAGCATGGGTTGTTGAAGACCTATTCTACCCCGGATCTTCACGGGTCGAATGGGAGAAAGCCATCGTTTGATTGTTTGTGGCTGCTGAAAGACATCATGGGTATGTTCGCCAAATAATCTTCATAAACATTTGTATGGAATGCGGTGAGCTTTGTTGGTTTGATTCTGTCAGTAAGGTAGGATGAGAGTGCAATGTGTAGTCAGCAATTGATGGGCACATTGAAATACATGTGTATAGTAAACTTCTTACACTTACAGAATACGTTAAACTTTCCGCAACACACAATGTATTTCTATTGCCTTGTTTTCCCATATGATTGGGATTTGGGATTACACTTTCTGACTAAAGTACAGATTTTAATAGTTTTGTCAGGTTGAGTCCCATGCGGGATTTGCAACCCAGACTCCCAGAGTGAGGCACCTATCCCCAGCAGACAGTCATTGCACTGTTATTGTTTGTATTTCAAGCTCATTTGGTTAAAGCCAAGAGTAATTTGACAAATAGAAAATAGATAGATATTCTTTATTTCCTCCATAAAATGAAGATTACATTTATCTGATAAACAACAGTACAGAAAATTGTCTATTAGTACTTGAATTATACAGTAATGTTCCATTGTGAAAGATCTGTAGGTATTTATGAACATTGCCGGAGTATGCTCTCCCAACAGCGAACTGAGGAACAAATGATTACCACCAATTCTGACCAAATGTTACAACTAATACATCTTTACAGTGATCAGGTATACCTCCAAGGAGGAATGACAGGAATACGTCATCGTCTGCAGTACATTGACCAACTGCATTTGGTCATATGTACTTACCTTATCCTTGACTAACTGCGACCATGCAATGTTCCAATGATCAAAGTTACATATTTTGTTTCACTTTTGAGATTTTTACTTCAGGCTCTTGTGTCATTAAAAGTGACATAACGCAAAGGTTATGTAGCTCACCTCAATGTTGTGAAATATTATAAGTGACCTGATAATCATTGAAGGCTGTTTCTACTTTACAGTGATCCCAACAACGCTGTACAGTATGGCCTGCACCAGACTTGGCCTCAGTTCTCGGAGCCAGGGGAACACTATCTACTGCTGAATACCACAATGTCCGTCGGATCCAAGCCCTACAAGGACCGGGTCACCTTATGGACGCAGACACTGCCGCGTCTCCTTCAAGCTGCACAGAACCAGCATCACACGACGAAGAACCCCCAACCTAACATTGTCGGTTAGCCATGCAACGACTGCAAGATGCTGACTTTTCGAATTAAAAAAGTGGGATTTCATTTGTATTTAAATGTTTAATTGAGTTACAAATGTAAAAGCCGTCAGGAGCAGATATTATTGTAGACAGTTCATATATCTAATCTCATCGGCGCTCATATGAGTTGAGTTTTAGTCCGGTGAAGATCCGGTTTAGAACTGGTCTTCAGCAACCCACGCTTGTCGTAAGAGGTGACTAACGGGATCGGGAGGTCAGGCTCGCTGAATTGGTTGACTTATGTCATCGTTTCCCAGTTGGGTAGATCAATGCTCATGCTGTTGACCACTGGACTGTCTGGTCCGGACTCGATTATTTACAGACTGAAACCATATTACTGGAATATTACTGATTGCGGCGTTACACAACAAACCAAACCATCTGAATTTGGGCAGACACCCATGGCACAGCTGATAAATATTCCCTAAGGACTGATTTGCTTAACGCGGTTGGCAGCTATCCTAATACATCGCAGTATTCTCTGCCTCAGATTCCAGGAACCGTTAGGCTTTGATTCGAACCAAGATTAGCTTCTGTCAAGAGCCCTGGTTTGTTTACCCGACTTGAGGATTCTACATTCTGAAAGTGAGTGAATTTGGATTTACGCGGCTCTGAAATGGGGACATCAGAAAAAGGCACTATGGACCCAAGATCCCTGGTCTTCAGCTTGACAAGCAAACGCTTTCACCATTAGGCTATCTCGATGACCCAGCATTCTAAATATGAACTCCTTAAACATACACAAGTACTATAACTGTGTATTCATTTCAAAGACAGGTGTGAGTATGAAAAAGTCTTGTAATGTTACATCATTTGTAAAAATGTGAATCGCACCAAGTGTCTGGAACATTCTGCGATGCAGTCTTAGAAATCCCCTATGCAGTTCCGCCGACATGCCTCTCCCATCACACTGTGAAGAAGCCGCCATATCAGATAATCGGCAGCTGTGCAGCTACTGCGGATTCAGATAATTGGCAGTTGTCAACGACTGCAACATGAAGTTATCGGTAGCTGTGCAACGACTGCAGCTTCAGATTACCGGCAGCTGTGCAACGACAGCAGCTTCAGATTACCTGCAGCTGTGCAACGACTGCAGCTTCAGATTATCGGAAGCTGTGCAACGACTGCAGCTTCAGTTTACCGGCAGCTGTGCAACGACTGCAGCTTCAGATTACCGGCAGCTGTGCAACGACTGCAGCGTCAGTTTACCGGCAGCTGTGCAACGACTGCAGCTTCAGACTACCGGCAGCTGTGCAATGACTGCAGCTTCAGATTACCGGCAGCTGTGCAACGACTGCAGCGTCAGTTTACCGGCAGCTGTGCAACGACTGCAGCGTCAGTTTACCGGCAGCTGTGCAACGACTGCAGCTTCAGATTACCAGCAGCTTTGCAATGACTGCAGCTTCAGATTACCGGCCGCTGTGCAACGACTGCAATTTGAGATTACCGGCAGCTGTGCAACAACTGCAGCTTCAGATTATAATTACCGGCAGCTGTGCAGCGACTGCAGCTTCAGATTACCGGCAGCTGTGCAACGACTGCAGCTTCAGATTACCGGCAGCTGTGCAACGAATGCAGCGTCAGTTTACCGGCAGCTGTGCAACGACTGCAGCTTCAGATTACCAGCAGCTTTGCAATGACTGCAGCTTCAGATTACCGGCCGCTGTGCAACGACTGCAATTTGAGATTACCGGCAGCTGTGCAACAACTGCAGCTTCAGATTATAATTACCGGCAGCTGTGCAGCGACTGCAGCTTCAGATTACCGGCAGCTGTGCAACGACTGCAGCTTAAGATTACCGGCAGCTGTGCAACGAATGCAGCTTCAGATTACCGGCAGTTGTGCAACGACTGCACCATGAAATTATCGGCAGCTGTGCAACGACTGCAACATCAGATTGTCGGCAATCGGGTTTGTTTCAGAGGATTGTCATGCAGAGCGGGTCTGCCTCGTCCTCATGGGCTCACACAAGGAACCCTCTGAAATGTGCACGACAACTGGCTCATAAAGTAAACTGTTCCTCCCAGAGCGATTCCGCATCCATGATCGCCTGTCTGAGGACCGTGTCTGCCAAGAAGTTGACTGCAGCTTCATGGCCAATGGGAAATGAACCCGTCACAGCATTAGCCTAGTTCTATTTTGTACCTACTGTTGATGGGGTATTTGTCAAAGACGATCCACTGGTTCTAATGAACTCCCAAACTTACCTGAAGCACGTAGGACTTCAAAATCTGGACTGTATGGTGTCGGTGGTAAGCAATGAAGGAGGAATCTTTAAAGGCCTTGCAAATTCAGCTGATAAACAGTTTCACTCGTCATTACCCTCATCGGTTCAGAACAAGGCATTCTACAGGAAAACCTTCATCCCAGAAGTTCTGCAGGTTTATTTTGGAACATCCTCCTCTGACATGACACAGGCCGTGGCTAAGGTGTATGTCCCCTCTCAAAGCCATACCGTTAATCTTCAGGCAGTAATGAACACTCTTGGTGTTGCTGGAATTGTGGCCCCCGTGACACTCTTTGCGAGGGCACATGCAAAGCTGAGCAGCAGCTTGAAAACAGGGAAGAAGGCCTACATGTATGTGTTTGACCACATCCCATCCTTTATGAGCGGCCATACACCTTTGCTCAACAAAGAATGGGGCAAAAGCGTTCTCATGATAACAGTGACCAATCATTGGTCTGCTCCAGATTTACAGGGACATTAGGTATCTCAAATATTGTTTAGAAGAACCTCTGGGTGAACAAATGAAAACTCCAAAATATTTTGTTTGTAACTGTTGTGTGATGAAGTCATAATCAACTATGGGCCAGAAATTACTAAGAAACATTGGTCTTTTAAGACTGGCCCTGATCAATTCCCCACACTTCTTTGATATGATCGCAGTCAGGCGGCCTATTCCATGAGAAATGTCTCCATTTCCCCTAGGTAATACTTATAGTATTGAGGCTTAGAATAGAACTGGGCACATAAATCATGTTTCACAAAGTCAAAAAGAAGTGTCAAGATGACCATGACGTCTATGTTTTAACAAATATTCACAACAGAGTCGAAAATTCATGACGCTAAGGCGGTCTTGTGGAACGGGGCTAAGAACGAAGAACATATTGGTTGTTTTTGTTTAATGTCGCACTTTGCGATAATACTATGTGAATGTTTATGGAGTGAAAATAATCGAATCTTGTTCAGGCGATCATGTGGTCAGAATTGTTAGCAAGCAGTTGTTCCTGTTGTGCCTCTCCTGGGTTTTGTTCGAAGCGCTTCATCAGCTAATCAGCGTCTAGTCTAATTAGTTCTTGGGACGAGCGGACAGGGCCTTTGCAGTTCGAGTGATGAAAATAACAGCGGATTCTTAAAAAGGCATCAAAGCGGCTTGAATCCAACCTGACTATCATTTGTGAACATTTCTAATGTTGAAAGTGTCTGGTCGATTTTTCATGTCAGATAAGGAAGAGGTAACTAGGGTATCTTGCATGAAAGCTATTTATACTGCCATTGCGATTGCACAACACACGTGACTGTTACATAAAATAAGCTTTTAAGCTTCAAGAGTATGGTCGTTCTTCAAAACAACACAATGGTTCTCATCGGGGCACTCATCTTGTTGTTTACCTTGCAATACCTCAACGCTCAACCCATCGTCGACACCCCTTGGGGTATAGTTGAGGGGACCACGAACGTCACCGAGGACTGGACACCTTACCATGCATTCTTAGGAATCCCCTTTGCAGTTCCTCCTACAGGGAGCAAACGGTTCAAGCGACCACAGCCACATCCTGGGTTTAACTACACCTTCAAAGCCAACAGTTATGGTCCAGCATGCCTCCAAACTCTCAAGTTGACTGTTGGATATGGTGTCACTGGAAAGGAGGATTGCTTAACACTGAATGTATTCACTCCAGCCTCAATTACGGAAACCAGTAACATACCTGTAATTGTCTGGATACATGGAGGGGGATTCATTGGCGGGGATGCTTTCACCTTTGATCCTTCATCGATCGTTGCCTATGGTCAGGTAATAGTGGTGACCATCCAATATCGCTTGGGGCCACTTGGGTTCTTCAGCACAAAGGACCACGTGTCAGCCGGAAACTATGGCCTCTGGGACCAACATCTTGCTCTGCAATGGGTTAAGAAGAATATTGCATCTTTTGGCGGGGACATCAACAGCATTACCCTCATGGGAGAATCTGCAGGATCCGCTAGTGTGGCATTCCAGGCCTTGTACACAGGGTCAAAGGGTTTGTTCCAAAGGACAATCATGCAGAGCGGGTCTGCCTCGTCCTCATGGGCTCACACAAGGAACCCTCTGAAATATGCACGACAACTGGCTCATAAGCTTAACTGTTCCTCCCAGAGCGACCCGGCATCAATGCTCGCCTGTCTTAGGAGTATTCCTGCCAAGAAATTGGTTGCAGCATCATGGCCAATGGGAAATGAACCCGTCACAGCATTAACCGAGTTCTATTTTGTACCTACTATTGATGGGGTGTTTGTCAAGGACGATCCTCTGGCGCTAATGAACTCCCCAGGTTATTTAAAGCAGGTAGGACTTCAAAATCTGGACTGCATGGTGTCGGTGGTAAGCAGTGAAGGTGGACTGATTCAAATAGTTGCAAAAGCAGCTGATAAACAGTTCCACTCGTCATTATCCTCATCAGTTGAGAACAATCGATTCTACAGAAACACCTTCATCCCAGAGATTCTACAGCTATATTTCGGAACATCCTCTTCTGACATGACACAGGCCGTGGCTGAGGTGTATGCCCCCTCCCAAAGCCATACCGTTACTCTTCAGGCAGTAATGAACACTCTTGGTGATGCTGGAATGGTTGCCCCAGCGACGCTCTTTGCCAGGGCGCATTCAAAGCTGACCAGCAGCTTGAAAACGGGGAAAAAGACCTACATGTATGTGTTTGACCACATCCCATCCTTCATCATTGGTCATGGCAAGGGGATGGATCATGGTGAAGACCTCATGTACACGTTTGGTCTCAACAAAGCCTACCTCTCTGCTATGGCAA